CCGCGTGCCCCGCGTGCTGCGCGCCAGCCTCCTGCTCGGCAAGTGACCGCCCGGCCCCCGCGGCGCCCCTGGGTCTCAGGAGCCGCGGGGGTGACCCCACTCCAAATAAACGAAACACTAGCTTTTCTTGGTTTGGTATTTTTTTCTTTTTAGGGGAAATGGACCTTAAATGGATGGGGTAGACCGGGGTCAGGATCCAGGGTGTGTGTGTGATCCAGGGTGTGTGTGTGTGTGTGTGTGTGTGTGAGATCCAGGGTGTGTATGTGTGGATGGGGGAGACCAGGTCAGGATCCAGTGTGTGTGTGTGTGTATGTGTGTGTGTGATCCAGGGTGTGTATGTGTGGATGGGGGAGACCAGGGTCAGGATCCAGGGTGTGTGGATGGGGTAGACCGGGGTCAGGATCCAGGGTGTGTGTGTGTGTGTGTGTTCCTGGGGTTTGAACTCTGGCCTGGGGTCTTTCCCTGTTTTAGTTCAAGGATAGAGATCTAACTCCACTTCTGGATTTTTTTTTTTTTTTTTTGGTTGGTCATGGGGCCTGAACTCTGGGCCTGGGCGCTGTCCCTGAGCTCTTCAGCTCAAGGCTGGTGTTCTACCACTTGAGCCACAGCGCCACTTCTGGCTTTTTTTCCCCCTGCTTATGTGGTGCTGAGGAATCGAACCCAGGGCCTCATGCATGCAAGGCAAGCGCTCTACCACTGAGCCACCTTCCCAACCCCTTGAGTAGTTTCTTAAAGGTAAGAGTCTCATGGACTTCCCTGCCAGGCTGGCTTTGAACAGTGATCCTCAGATCTCAGCCTCCTGAGTAGGTAGGATTACAGATGTGAGCCACTGGGGTCCTCCAGGATCCAGGGCACTGGAGGGGATGGTGGAGGTTTTCCATCTCAAACTCCGGTGGGATGGGAGTGGTTCTGCCAGGGAGGAAGGAGTTAAGTGGCACACTATCACCTCCAATGGGCATCAGGTTACCAGAATGTGAGTCCCTCCAGGAAGGGGTGGAGCCAGGCCCAGCCTTAAGCTCTCAGCTGCCCTGGGCCTGGGTGAATCCTGCTGGGCCCTGGAGACAGCCTGGACCAAGGAAGAGGCTTTTCCGGGTTGTCCTCAACTGATCTTGTCCCCAGCCCCCAGTTATGGCATGGTGCCCACCTCAGGGCCGTAGACTCTTCACAGAGCCCCTCAACCATCCTCCAGGAGCCCCTAGGGAGCCTGACATTGGTGGATGTGCCATGTTCCCTGCACCTGGAGAGGAGACAAGCAGGTAGGAGCTGGGGCTTTGGTCCTAAGGTGGGGGCAGAAGCAGGGGTCATTTCAGGGTAAGGGGTGCTATGCTGTGGTCACCTGGGGGACTGAGGCACAGCAGCTCAACCAGGGTCCTATCAACCCTAACCTCTAGGCCAGTGCAGGCCCAGGTATTTTCGGATGCTCCTGGCCATGTCCAGGGTGGGCTGAGGGTCACGGAGCACATCACCAGCCCCCCACGAACATCAACAGTCTCGTCTCATGAGGACCCAGCTGGGGACAAACACCATGAGGTAAGCTTTAGTGGCCAGACCCTGCGTGCCGCCCCACCTCCCCTCTGTCCACAGAACTGGCCTCTGTCTGGGGATAAGGTGGAAAGTCTGGAAGGGTAGGAGCCAACTGCAGGAAGAGCCAGATTCTTCACCAGTATTTCTTTACCAATCAATGTAGAATTTCAATATTTACCCCATTTTTCCTTCACCATCCATGTCCTAGGCTCCCTCCATATACTCAAATTTCCAAGAAAATTCAAAAGCTACATCTACTTTTTTTTTTTTTTTTGGTGGTAGTAGCTTTGCTAGGCAGATATTCAATTCTGAGCCACCTTTGGCAAGCTTCAGTCCTTGATCTTCCTACTTATAACTTCTCTGTAGCTGGAATCACAAATGTGTGCCACCATGCCTGGCTTATTGGTTGAGAAGGTCTTGCTAACATTTTGTCTGGGCTGGCCTAGAATGGCCATCCTCTCTCTGCCTCCTAAAGTAGCTAGGAGTATAGCCTGAGCCACCACAGCTGGCCTGAACCTTGAATTAGAAGTCCCGTAACTCCAAGTGAAAGCCTCCCCCACCCCTACCCTGTCCACTGGCCCTAATTCAAACTCTTGTGTTTCCCAGCACCCCATCTCTAGTCTGGAGGTACTGGAGGCTGAGCAGGACAGCCTCCACCTTTGCCTGTTGGGACTGGGCCTCCGTCTGCAGGATCTGGAGCCAGGCCTTGGGCCCTGGACACTGGCCCAGAATAGGATGGTCCAGCTGCAGGTGGGAAATGGGAAACCAGGGCGTGGGAGGGTGGTTGTAGCGGCAGGAGTAGGTGGAGTCGTACGATGGGAAGAGGGCTTATTACATATTCCAGGTTTCCAGAGAGGAGATGGGGGAGTGTTAACTCCAGGCTCTGGGTCTCTCGGGTCCCTGGAGTCCCTGTTGAGGATGTCCAACCATATGTTCCAGAAACTACAGGCAGAGCTCCGAGGTGCAGCTGAGCGTGTGGACGCCCTTCTGGCATTTGGTGAGGGGCTGGCCCAGAGGACTGAGCCCAGGGCCTGGACATCACTGCAACGGATTCTGAGGGCCCTGGGAGCTCACCGTGACACCATCTTCCGACGCCTCTGGCAGCTGCAGGCCCAGCTAATCAGCTATAGCCTGGTATGTCCCTCCCTGGTGGTCCCCATTCGAGTCCCTGGTGCTTCAGCTCCATGGCCACTATCTTCTGATCCAGGTATTGGAGAAAACCAGCACACTGGACCAGAACTTGGAGGTGGAGGGGGACTCAGATGAGCCAGCACCTGGTGGGGCCTGGAGGCCCTGGACACCCAGTAACCTTCCTACTCCTGTGGAGCTGGAATGGGACCCAGCTGGAGATGTTGGAGGTCTCGGGCCTTCAGGGCAAAAAACAGCCCCGACACCAAGGGCTCCCTGTGAGCTTTGTGGCCACAGGGGTCCCCAAGGTAGCGGACAAGGCTTTGAGGTGAGATCAGCCCCTCCGTAAGGACTCCACCACTCAAACAGGCACCCACAGGGCAACTTCTGTGTCTTCTAGAAGCTTCTTTCCCTTTTGAGGTGTTGGGTGTCTGACTCTTGGTGTATTTGTGACTTCCTGGCTTTCTCCTATTTGTGTCTCCATGAATCTCTCCATTTACCTTTCTCTCTCTTTTCCATTCAGACTTGGATCAGCACCCTCCACCCTAGCAGCCACACTTGCTACCTTTCTGCTAAATATTCCAACTTTACTCATCACCTGAGATCCCCAGGGGTCCACCCAGCTCACCTTCATTCCATCTCCCCCCAGATACCATCTCTTCAGAGTCACCTGACCCTCAGCTTAGTGCTCCTTATCTTCCTATGGTTTTCCTGACTCCACTTAGCAGACTTGATATTACCATTTACCTTGTTGATTTTTGGCCTCTGGTTAGAATGTAAGCTCTGCCAAGGGCAAGATTTTGCCAGCTTCCATCCCCTACTCCTGGAACTGAAACAGATACTCATTAAGTATTTGTTGGGCAAATGAATAAATAATTTCTCTCTTCTTGGTTTCTTCGGCTCTGTGCCTCTCTCTGTGTTGTGAGATCTGTGTGCTCCCCAGAATGTCACTCCCGTGACACCTGCCTTCCAAGACCTTCCCCAGCCAGGTTGCAAAAGCCATATCTCTTCTCTCTCACAGGACATTCGGGCACTGGGGCTCAGCCACCAAAAACACTTAGCAGGTCACCAAAGACACTCTCTACTCCACAAGCCTCAGGTGAGTTTGTCTTTATCAAGGACTTCTAATATCATTTAGGCTCTACTTCCCCAAAGTGGCTTCCTGCTCAGCTAAGTGGCATTATTTCACCCAGAAGGAGAGTACCTGGGACCTACTGGCAAGCAGCCAAACCCTAGTCTGATTCTACTTACCGAGTGTGGGTCATGGGCTGCTATTGAACCAATCAGAGAGCTCCAAAACTCCCATTGGCTAAAGCTAGGTCTCCTGCCCAATCATGAAAATGGGGAAGGTTAAGCTTTGCCTGCACCTGCAAGTCTGAAGTACAATGACTTCTGCCTGCCTCACCCAAGTTGAACCATGCAAGAAAGGAGATGGGATGGATATAGAGAGCAGGTATAGATATCCACTACACCTGGAGAAAGTTCAAGTGCCTGTGGAGCTCTGGGGTGCCAGGAAAGGAAGAGGAATAAGAGCGCCGTGTAGGTCTACAGTGCTAAGGCAAATGCATGCTAAGGGTCACATTTGTCCATTCCTCTGTGGGCTGCTCTACCTCAGGACAGGAAGAGGCGAGCCCCTCCCAGCATGCGGGATGTGATGCTGGAGGTGGAACCTGGGTAAGATGCTTGGGATGAACCTGGGGATGGCGTGGAGGGTCAGGGCTCATGGCAGTGGCCCACTCTGTATGTAATTGTGCATTTCTTTCTTAGGGTCCCTGTTCCTGCTTCCAGGTGGCCTCTGACCTTGCTCCTTTTCCTCTTTTTTCTGGTGGGTACTATGTTGCTCTTGCCCATGTCTGGGGGATCCTGCTGCTCTCATGCTCCACTGGCCAGGACTCCCTACCTGGTGCTAAGCTATGTCAATGGTCTCCCTCCAGTCTGAGCACCTGGCCAGGATATGGGGAATAAACAGTCACTGTCAAAAAGGTGTGTGAAGGTACTGAGTGCTCCATCACCTGAAATCTGGGATCCGGACCCTTTTGTAGACCCCTCTGTTTTGAGCATGACACAAGGAATAAGCTATCTTGGGTTTGGTTTCCCAGACCTGGAGACAAAGATTCAAGCACAAGTCAGATTTGGGATCTCTCTAGGAGGGGCTGGCAGGGAATGAGGATGTGAGCCAGGGAAGAAAGCCAAAACTGGGTGGGTTAATGAACTGGTTGCTGTTCTGGAAACCTGGGTGCCATCCTACTGGATGCTACCAGGAAACTATGTGGAACATACTCCCAAGCTGTTCCACCCAACAGATAACGTTGTGGCATTGATACACCAGCCTCCATATGTCACTGAGCACTGACTCTGGAGGCCTGGATTCCCCAGCACTTCTGGCCTCCCCAACCCCTTGAAAGCCCCTCTCCTTCAGGCAAAGCAGAACAGGTGCCTGTCCTAGGAAGCCAGAACAAAGTAATGTGGGTGAGCAGCCATTGGCACCAGCCCAGGTTGGATTTTCATCCACCTAGGAGCTCTGTACCATTATTACATACTGGGGGATTGAACTCAGGACCTCATGACTGATGGGCAGGCTGGTACCAGGACTTAAATTCAGGGTTTTGAGCTTTCATTTGATTTTGTTTTTGGGGTTTTTTTTGGGTCCGGTCGTGGGGCCTGAACTCTGGGCCTGGGCGCTGTCCCTCAGCTCTTCAGCTCAGGGCTAGCACTCTACCACTTGAGCCACAGTGCCACGTCTGGCTTTTTTTTTCTGCTTATGTGGTGCGAGGAATCGAACCTAGGGCCTCATGCATGCAAGGCAAGCTCTCTACCACTGAGCCACCTTCCCAGCCCCTGAGCTTTCATTTGAATTTCTGGCTATCTGGCTCTCTACCACTTGGCCCACACTTCCAATACAGTATTTTGCTGGTTGATGGGAGATAGTCTCTCAGACTTTTCTGTCCAGAATGATTTCAAATCTTGATCCTCAGATCACAGCCTCCTGAGTAGCTAGGATTAAAGGCGTCAGCCATTGGTTCCTGGCCTCTCCAGGGTCTTGACAACACAAAGGGTTCAGTCTTGGAGATGGGGACTCCAGTCTTGAAGTTAAGGTATGAGAAGAGGTCGGAACAGCATCAGACTCAATAACAGAGGAGTGCTATGGTGGTGTCCTGGATGTACATTTCACACAGATTCTTTTTTTTTTTTTTGGTCTGGTTGTGGGGCCTAAACTCTGGTCCTGGGCGCTGTCCCTCAGCTCTTCAGCTCAAGGCTAGCGCTCTACCACTTGAGCCACAGCACCACTTCCGGCTTTTTTCTTTTTTGCTTATGTGGTGCTGAGGAATCGAACCCAGGGCCTCAGGCATGCAAGGCAAGCACTCTATCACTGAGCCACCTTCCCAGCCCATTTCACACAGATTCGGTCTCTGAATTTTTACTACTATCCAATACCGTGTCCTCACCCTAATAGACACAAAGAACTGACACACAGGGCAAACGACTGAAACTCAGCCCTTACTGACTTTAAACAGAAATGAGAGTTTATTTCTATGAGTAATTAAGAAGTTTAGGACTTCTAGATCCAGGGCCACGAAGGATATATCCACTTCAGTTCTTGTTTTGGTTTCCTTCTTAAGTCTAATGGTGGCTAAAGTGGCCTTCAGGCATTCAGGCAGCCAGGTGTGGTGGTACACGCCTATAATTCCAGCACTCAGATGGTGGAAGCAGGAAGATCCTGAGTTCAAGACCAGTCTGAGTTACACAGTGAAACCTTAGAGAGAGAGAAAGACAGAACATATTCTATGCTTTCCAGTGGGGTGATCAGATCTGTAAGGAAGGCCAAATGTTATTTTTCCAAAAAGCAGAAAATAGATATTTTATCTAATCAACTACAAATTCTGAAGAAATATATATGTTTTCTGTTTGCTTCCGAGACAGGGTCTTACTGTACAGCTCAGGCTGACCTTGCACTCATGTTTGCCTCCACAGTGCTGGAATTACTACAGGTGTGCTATCTAATTTCTCATTAAGACTTTTTTTTTTTGGTCCGGTCCTGGGGCCTGAACTCTGGGCCTGGGCGCTGTCCCTCAGCTCTTCACAGCTCAAGGCTAGCGCTCTACCACTTGAGCCACAGCGCCACTTCCAGCTTTTTTCTTTTTCGCTTATGTGGTGCTGAGGAATTGAACCCAGGGCCTCATGCGTGCAAGGCAAGTGCTCTACCACTGAGCCACCTTCCCAGCCCTCATTAAGACTTTTATGTAGGAAATGTAGCTGTGGCTCACAGTGGTAGAGTGCTAGCCTTGAGCAAAAGATCTCAGAGATAATCCCTGGGCCCTGAGTTCAAGCCCTAAAACTGACAAAAAAAAAATACTTATGAAGTCTCAGAAAATAAAGGCTTTGGGAACTGAAGGCATGACTCAAGTAGTAAAGTGCCAGCTGTAAGTAAAAAAGCGGAAAGTGCAAGGCAAAGAGTTCTAGGCCTTATACCAGCATTACATAAATAAATGTTTTGCTTTTGTAACAATGTGCTGTGAAGATCTCTAGTTCAAAAATAAGTATGCAGCTGGGCGCCAGTGGCTCATGTCTGTAATCCTAGCTACTTAGGGGGCTGAGATCTCAGGATCAGGGTTCCAAGCTAGACAGAAGAGAAAAGTCCCTTATCTCCAATAAACTACTCAAAAAAGCAGGAAACAGCACTGTGGCTCAAGTGGTAGAGCGCTAGCCTTGAGCACAAAGCGAGAGCACCCAGCCCTTGAGTTCAAGCCCTAGTACCCACAAAAAAACAAAAACAAAGATGACAAGTGAGATACTGATCATCCTAATCTGAAATGTCCTAAGCTCTAGAGCTTTCTGCACAACAGACATGATGCCACAAATGGAAAATCCCACACCACAAAACTGTTTCCTGGGGCTTGGAAAGTGGCTTAGTGGTAGAGCGTTTGCCTTGTATGCATGAGGCCCTCCTGGGTTCAATTCCTCAGCACCACATAAGCAAAAAGAAAAAAGCCGGAAGTGGCGCTGTGGCTCAAGTGATAGAGTGCTAGCCTTGAGCTGAAGAGCTGAGAGACAGCGCCCAGGCCCAGAGTTCAGGCCCCATGACCAGACTCCCCCCTCCAAAAAAAAAAAAAACTGTTTCCTAATCAATTTTTATTTATTTATTGTTGTAGTTTTGTGTGTGTTGGTACTAGGGCTTGAACTCAGGGCCTGGGTGCTGCTTTTTTGCAGAGGGGAATGGGAGTTGGGCGAGTATGATCAGCTGCTGTGACAATGTATATTTAATTCAATGGGTCATCATCACAGCCATGTGATCAAGGCAGCATGAGCATACCCATTTCATTGGTAAGGAACTTGAGGCAGGAATCACTTGCCCGTGATAGTGTAATTACATGTAATCACTAAGGGCTGCGGCTAGGACTCCAGGCTGGCATTCCAGTTCTAGGGTTTATGCTCTTAAGTACCACTGTCCTGTGTGCCCCTCCCCATCCTCTCTATTTGATAGGGCCCACTGTTTTTGAACATCTACCTGCATGTGCACCTGACCCAAGAAGTCTGTCCTGGCCTGCAGCCTTGCTCAAAATCTACATCCTGGAGCTAATTGGGGCTCAAGATGATGAGCCAGGGGCGAGGAAGAGGTGGGAGATGAGACTGAGAGATGTAACAGAGGCTGCATGAGTAGGACCCCAATCAGCCACTTGCAGAACTTTGGCTTTTACCTTGAAATGGAGCCAGCGTAGCATTAACAGGGTGGTCACCTTGGGGATGGGGGATATAGCTCAGTGGTAGTGTGTATGTGCAAGGCCTTTTCCATCCCCAGCACTGCAAAACAAATGAACATCACTAAGTCAGGAATACCTGGATGAACAAAACAGGGGCTGAGAGACAAACAGGTGGCTAAAGTCTAACAGTACACAAAGCGAAGCAGATGCCACATACTAGTTTCACAGACTTGTGCTCTGGGACACTCCAGGACCTACCCGAAACTCTACAATCTTCCCACTTTGCTCCCACCAGGCCTTTACCTACACTAGCCCTCTTACTTAGAATCCTATCTTTGCTGGTCATGGTGGTACACACCCATAATCCCAGCACTTGGGAAGCTGCGGCAAGGAGGATCGAGAGTTTGAGTCTGGCTTGGGCTGCCTAGTAAGACCTTGTCTCAAAACACAAAGAGATGTTGATGGCTGGGTGACAGTGGCTCGTGCCTGTATTCTTAGCAACTCAGGAGGCTGAGCTCGGGGATTCTTGGTTTGAAGCCAGCCTGGCCAGATAAGTCTATGAGACTCTTACCTCCAATCAATCGCCAAAAAAGGCTGGGAAGTGGAATTGTGGTTCAAGTGGTAGAAAACAGTACTAACTAGCCTTGAACAAAAAAGCTCAGGAACAGCGCCAAAGCCCTGAATTCAAGCACCAGGAATGGGACGTATGAACATGCATGCAGAGTTATGGGGAGCACGTCTGGGCTCCCCAAGATTTGTTTTTTTTTTGGTCAGTAGATCTCAGTTTAACACTGTCCTGCTTGTGGAGGCCCCGGGCCGCTACAAGGCCATACACAGGACGGTGTGTCTGGGGGTGGCGGGAGGATCTGACCCGTTACCAGGCACAGGCCTGCAGCTGTTCTCAGGACCTCTCACCTGCCATCAGGTGAGTTTCCGGTCTTCCCCCAAACTGTCATGCCGCACCCCGGGCGCCACCGACCGGGGGACTCCCTCGCCGGTCATCGGGCCGGGTGTCGGGTGCCCCCGTGTGGTCGTGAGGTTCCCTCGGTCTGTGACCTGCGTCAGGTGGGGTCCCCGGGGCTCCGGCGGCGGCGTCGCCTGACTCTTGGCCCGGGCCCCGCGGGCGCACGAAGGCGCCCATGGCCGTGGCGTGGCCCGAGCGCAGCAGCTGCAGCTGCCGGCGTCCGCGGCGGTACAGGTACTCGATGCGCAGCACGTCGGACCGCGGGAGGGCGGCGTGCTGCCGGAACTCCGCCCGGATGCGCGCCTCCGCGCCCGGTTTCCCGCGGCCAGCGCGCAGCAGCTCACGGTACAAGCTCAGAATCTGTTTCTGTAGCCGACTCAGGCGACTCATGACGGCGGCTACCGAGCCGCCACCGCAGGCGACTTCCGTCCCGCGCCTTTCCAAAGTCCCTCCCCTCCCCTTCCGGTTTCCGGTGCTATCGCATCTGATTGGCTGTGGCTGCCGTGTGTTAAGGCGGCCTGGGAAAAGGGGGCGGAGTCACTGACGTTGTCCCTCTCCTAGGGCAATCTCTGTCCTTGAGCGGACTGTGGTCCGTGACATCCATCCGGGTCCGGAGAGATTGGGGTCTAGGCGGTAGGGCTCTTGGACATAAGAAATCATAACTTAGGTCCTGGGAAGAGGAAGAGCTAGGGGTTCGGACTTTTGGGCCTCAAGGGCACGAAGGGCACTGGGAGAGAGAAGACTGGAACAAGAATGATTTTGTTTTTATATGATTTTTCTTTCTGTGCCGGACCCGGGGTTTGAACTCAGGGCCTGGGCGCTGTCCCTGAGCTGCTTTTGCTCAAGGCTACCGCTCTACCACTTGAGCCACACAGCTCTACTTCCAAGCTTTTTGCTGATTCCTTGGAGATAAGAGACTCATGGATTTTCCAGCCCAGGCTGACTTTGAATCATGATCCGCAGATCTCAGCCTCCCCAGTAGCCAAGGTTATAGGCGTGAGCCACCAATGCCCGGCTTTTGTTTTGATTTTTAAAGGAGACAGCATCTATCTTGTCCAATGTGTCTCCCAACTCCAGGATTCCGGACCTTCCTTGCCTCAGCCCTCCTGAGTAGCTGGGACTCAGGCATGTGTCCCGGCGCCAGGGTGCAGGTATAGTTTTGTCATCAGTTATTAAAACCATCACTGGAAGCTCTTGTGCATCCCCTCTCCTGGGGTAGAGCTGTACCGGGATCCTGGCCCTTAGGACATGCAAAGGGACGTGCTCATGGAGTGAAATGTTGGATTGGGGCCAGTTGGACAAGCTTCTTTCTGCTGTAGAAAGACAAGCCACACAGGCGTGTGTGGTTATTTATGACTGTCTGTCAGGACTCGCCCTCTGCCAGTGGGAGTCAAATCCTGGGACAGAAGCAGAAGCTTTTTTGAAGTCCAGCAAGCCCTAAATATGTCGGTTTCATTGACACACTTAAGGCCTATTGGGAGCATCAAATGGTTCCTGAAAGTTGGCTTGAGGAGTCCTGGTAGCACTATGGGGGCCCAGGATGCTCGTGTAGCATCTGTGTTGGATAACCTTGGAGCCCTCTGACTAGAACACAAACGCATCTTTGCATAACTGAATGGACAGCCACGCTAGGCACCTGTCAGGGACCAGGGAGTAAAACAATCTACCTAGGGAGCTGGACTGTGGTGGCTCACGCCTGTAATCCTAGCTACTCAGGAGCTGAAATCTGAGGATCATGGTTCAAAGCCAGTCCAACAAGTCCATGAGACTCTTATCTCCATTTAACCATCAGAAAACCAGAAGTGGCGCTGTGACTCAAATGGTAGAGCTCTCACCTTGAGCTGAAAAGCTAAGGGACAGCACCCAGGCCTAGAGTTCAAGCCCCATGACCAACAAAATAAATAAATTAATAAAAATCCACATAGGGGCTCCAGTAAGACAAGTTGAATTCCCAATACAATAAAATTAACAATAATAATAAACGATGGCTGGAAGAATAATATCTAAATCAAGAATGGCAAAAGTCAAATGTGGTGACCCATGTGTGCCATCCTAACTACTCAAGAGGCTGAGATTTGGAGGATCACAGTTTGAAGCCAGCCCTGGCAGAGAAGTCCAAGAGACTCTTATCTCCAATTAACCAACCAAAATCTAGAAGTGGAGCTGTGACTCAAGGAGTAGAGCACTAACCTCGAGCCAAAAAAAAAAAAAAAAACTCAAGAGATGTGCCTAAGCCCCAAGTTCAAGCCCTAGGAACAACATACAAAAAAAGGAGGGGGGGTGAGAAAGGTAAGAATATCTGTAACTGGGATGAGTTCATAAGGTTTCAAAACATTGTTCTCTATTTCATGCCTCAGCCTGGAACTTGAGTGCTGAGATTACAGGTGTGAACCACAATGCCTGATTGATTTCTTTTGTCTGTCAGTTGTAGGGCTAGAACTCAGAGCTTGGGTGCTGTCTTTGAGCTCTTTTGCTCAAGAGTAACACTCTACCACTTTGAGCCACAGCTCCACTTCTGGTTTTCTGGTGATTCATTGGAAACATGGGTCTTACTGAGACTTTTCTGCCCAGGCTAGCTTTGTATCATGATCCTCAGATCTCAGCCTGCTGAGTAGCTAGGATTACAGGCGTAAGCCTGGCATGAAAATCTATACATTTTTTTTTGCCTGTCCTGGGGCTTGAACTCATGGCCTGAGTGCTGTCCCTGAGCCTCCTTGTGCGCAAGGCTAGTGCTCTACCACTTGAACCACAGCACCACTTCTGGCTTTTTCTGTTTATGTAGTACTGAGGAATCGAACCCAGGGCTTCATGCATACAAGGCAAGCACTCTTCCACTAAGCCACCTTCCCAGCCCATAACTTTCCTTTCCTTTCCTTTCCTTTCCTTCCTTCCTTCGTTCGTTCCTTCCTTCCTTTTTTTTTTTGTCAGTCTTCACTCTTGAACTCTGAGCCTGGGCGCTGTCCCTGAGCTGTTCAGCTTAAGGCAAGTGCTCTATCACTTGAGGCACAGCGCCACTTCCAGTTTTCTGGTGGTTAATTGTAGATAAGAGTCTCATGGACTTTCCCACCTGGGCTAGCTTTGAACCACAATCCTTAGATCTCAGCCTTCTGAGTAGCTAGGATTACAGGTGTGAGGCACCAGTGCCTGGCTCTATTTTTTAAATAGTGATTATCTAGAGGCTTTTTTGATCTAGAACTGAGCTCTAAGAGTTCTCAAGACCTGTCAATATTGTCAATTCCAGTGATGGCAGATATATTGCTCTTCTGACCTCTTTCTCTTGATGTGGCCATCTCTCCCTCTCCCTTCTGGGTTTCATCGTCCATGTTTTTCCTAACAAGTGGGCCTTTATCTCCAAGACATGAAGGTCTTTATCCTCCAATGGATTAAAGGGGCTGCAAAACTATTTCTCCTGCTCAGAGTCCATCTGTTCTTTTCTTTTTTTGGTCATGGGGCTTGAACTCTGGGCTTGGGCACTGTCCTTCAGTTCTTCAGCTCTTCAGCTCAAGGATAGCACTCTACCACTTGAGCCACAGCTCTACTTCTGGTTTTCTGGTGGTGAATTGGAGATAAGAGTTTCACGGACTTTCCTGTCTGGACTGGCTTTGCTGTGATCCTCAGATCTCAGCCTCCTGAGTAGCTAGGATTACAGGCATGAGCCACCAGAGTCTAGATGATTTCATAGTTATATTTCCACAAAATTTGTTTTGTCATAACTGTACTGGGGAGTAAACACAGGGCCTCTCCCATGCTACACAACTGCTCTACCATTTAAGCCACACCTCTCAGCCTTTTTGGTTTTATTTTGATTTTCAGACAAAGTCTTGATACCTCACACAATCCTCAAATTCACCATCCTCCTGTCTCTGGCTCCTGAGTAGTTAGAATTACAGATGTGTGATGCCACACACATAAATACACAGTCTTCTCTTTTTCTTCCTCCCTTTCTCCCTCCCTTCCTTCTCCTCCCTCCTTCTCTTTCTTTTTCTTTTTGTTATTCATGGGGCTTGAACTCCGGGTTTGGGCGCCTTCCCTCAGCTCTTCAGCTTAAGGTGAACGCACTATCACTTTAGCCACAGAGCCACTTCTGGTTTTCTGGTGGTTAATTGGAGATAAGAGTCTCACTGACTTTCCTGCCAGGGCTAGCTTTGAACCTCAATCCTCAGATCTCAGCCTCCTGAGTAGCTGGGATTACATGCATGAGCCACAAGCACTCTTCTTTTTTATTTTTGGCAATAAGAGGTTTAAACTGAAGGCCTCTCACTTATTCAACTAGTGTCCTATTACTTGACCCACATTTCCAGTCTGATTTTTTTTTTGTCAGTGGTGGGGCTTGGAACTATGAGCCTGGATGCTGTCCCTCAGTTCTTCAGCTCAAAGTGAGAGCTCTAGCACTTGAGCCACAGAGCCACTTGTGGTTTTCTGGTGGTTTATTGGAGATAAGAGCCTCATGTACTTTCCTGCCCCAGCTGTCTTTGAACTGTGATCCTCAGATCTCAGCCTCCTGAGTACCTAGGATTATAGGCATGAGCCACAAGCACTTAGCCAGCCTGACTTTTCTTTTCTTTTCTTTTTTTCTGGTTGTGGGGCCTGAACTCTGGGCGCTGTTCTTCAGCTCAAGGCTAGTGCTCTACCACTTGAGCCGGAGCTCCACTTCTAGTTTTTTCTGCATATGTGGTGCTGAGGAATTGAATCCAGGGCCTCATGTGTGCAAGGCAAGCACTCTACCACTGAGCCACCTTCCTGGCCCCAGCCTGACGTTTTGCTGGTTATTTTGGAAATTGTATCCTGCCTGCTGCCTTTGAACCACAAGCCTCTGAATCAGCATTTTGAGTAGCTAGGCACCCAGCTCCTTCCAATCTTCCTCCTCCTCCTCCTCCTCCTCCTTCTGCCAGTCCTGGGGGTTGAACTCAGCATCTTGGCACTGCCTCTGATTCTTTTGCTCAAGGTTAGCACTCTACCACTTGAGCCAAAACATTGTTTCTGGCTTTTTCTGTGTATGTGGTACTGAGGAATCGAACCCAGGGCGTCATGCATGCTAGATAAGCACTCTACCTCTGAGCCACATTTCCAGCCTCTTCTTTTCTTTCTTCCTTCCTTCTTTTTCCTCCTGCTGCAATCCTAAGACATTGTGCTTTGTGTGCTCTGCTATTGAACTCCAGCTCCAGTCTCCATCCTCTTAATGAATAAATTAAGAGACAAGGTTTTGCTATGCAGCCCTTGAACTCTCCATCCTCCTGAGAGTGCTGCGATTACAGGCATAGATCACCATGCTCAGCTCTCCAATATGTAGAGGGGGCTGATTCCAAAACCAGGTTCCAGGCAGAAGTAAGTACAAGCCTCAGTGTTGGCCAATCAGATTATTCTTTCTTCCTCTGGGCCAGCATGATTTGCCAGCAAAGCTTAGGGGAATCAACCAATGGGGAAAGGGTGTCAGGGTTTGGAGCTGGGAGGAGTGTGGGCTGGGAAGATAGACAGTCTGAAGTTGCTGAACCTTGCCCATACCACAAGAAGGAGGGAGACTCCGCTTGAGAACAGTTAACAGAAAGAAGGAGGAAAGGGCCAGACTGAGAAAACAGATTGCTCAGATTTCTCTTCTCGTTTTATTTTATTGGAGCTCTTACTGCAGGACAGATACATATATTGAAGATGGAGACTTGTTCCTGAGTTTAGTGACAAGGGTGAACTTTAGCAATAAGAAACAGCCACTGGTGTATCACACCTGTAATCCTAGCTACTCAGGAAGGAGGCTGAGATCTGAGGACTGTGGTTCAAAGCCAGCCTGGGAAGTCTGTGAGACTCTTATCTCCAATGGACCAGCAAAAAGCCAGAAGTGGAGCTCCAGCTCAAGTGGTAGAGTGCTAGCACTGAGAGGAAAATCTCAGGGACAGCACCCAGAACTTGAGTTCAAGCCCTTCTCTCTCTCTCTCTCTCTCTCTCTCTCTCTCTCTCTCTGTCTCTCTCTCTCTCTGTCTCTCTCTCTCACACACACACACGCACGCACACGCACATGCACACGCATATACACACACTAGAATTGGACCCTGGCATCGGGTTTTCCCACATCCACCTCCAAGTTCTCTGCAAATTCAACAATTCAAGCTGGTAGGATTCCCATTCTACAGTGAAGCAGGCCTGATCATATGCAGGCAGAAAAGGGTAGGGCTGAGGGAACAGTACAAAAATGAGCAGCTTCACCTAGAGATAGAACAAGACTGCAGTGGGCTGGAGCACACAGGCTCTGTGTAAACAGAGCCAAATTCAATTGCTTTAAAATCCCTGGTGCTGGGGTGCATACAGCTCAGCGGCTGAGAGCATACTTAGCATGCATGCATGAGGCCCTGGGTTCAACCCCAGAGCAGATGCATGCACACGCACACACATGCATGCACACACACTCCTCCTGCAAGTCACTCCAAACACAATTTATGGGTTAATTCACCTGTATTCTTTTGTGAGGGAATTTGAGAACTATCCCTTCCTTTCCTTTTTTTTTTTTTTTTTGCTTGTCCTGGGTCTTGAACTCTGGTCCTGGGTGCTGTTCCTGAGCTTCTTTTGCTCAAGGCTAGTGGTCTACCACTTTGAGCCACAGCATCACTTCCAGGTTTTTCTGAGTAGTTTATTGGAGATAATAGTATGGACCTTACTGCCCAGGCTGGCTTCAAACTGCCGTCATCAGATCTCAGCCTCCTGAGTAGCTGGGATTTCAGGTGTGAGCCATTGGTGCCCAATTTGTGTGTGTGTGTGTGTGTGCATGAGTGCACACACATGTACCATTACTGGGGTTTAAACCCAGGGTCTGGCTGCTGTCCTTTAACTTTTTCACTCAAAGCTTGCTCTCTATCACTTGAATCACAGCTCCACTTTGGGTTTGTGTGTGTGTATGTGTGTGTGTGTGTGTGTGTGTGTGTGTGTGTTTTGCCAATCCTGGGGCTTGAACTACGGGCCTAGACACTGTTCCTGAGCTTCTTTTGCTCAAGGCTAGCACTCTACCACTTGAGCCACAGCGCCACTTCTGGCTTTTTCTGTGTATGTGGTACTGAGGGATTGAACCCAGGACTTTATGCATGCTAGACAAGCACTCTACCACTAAGCCACATTTTCCCACTTTAGGTTTTTAGTAATGCATTAAAGAGTCTCACAGATTATCCTGCCTAGATTGGCTTTGAATTGTGACTCTTAAATAGCCTCCTGAGTAACTAGGATTATAAGCATGAGTTACTAATGTCTGGCTATATCCCTTCCTTCTACCCAGGAAAGGACACTGATTTTTTTTTCATGGCTATAAGGATATGAGGTTAAGCCGGGCACTGGTGGCTCACACCTGTAATCCTAGCTACTCAGGAGGCTGAGATCTGAGGATCGAGGTTCAAAGCCACCCTGGCCAGGAAAGGCCATGAGACTCTTATCTCCAATAAACCAGTCAGAAAACCAGAAGTAGTATTGTGGCTCAAGTGGTAAATGCTAGCCTTGAGCTGAAGAGCTGAGGGACAGTGCCCCAGAATTCAAGTCCCACAACTGACAGAAAAAGAAAAGAAAAGAAAAAAATGAGGTTAGCACCTTCCAAATTGAACCTTTAATGGATATTCTTGTTTGTTTGGTGGAGCTATCCTTGGGGCTTGAACTTAGGGTCAGGGCACTGTCCCTGAGCTTCTTTTGCTTCTTTTAGCACTCTAACCCTTGAGCCACAGCACAACTTCTGGCTTTTTCTGTGTATGTGGTACTTAGGAATCAAACCCAGAGCTTCATGCATTCTAGGCAAGCACTCTATCACTAAGACACGTTCCCAGCCCGAGTTTTGATTTTTTATTTTTATCTTTTATTTTTGTCATCCCTGGGGCTTGAACTCTGGGACTGGGCGCTGTCCCTCAGCTCTTCAGCTCAAGGCTAGCACTCTACCACTTGAGCCACAGCACCACTTCTGGTTTCCTGATGGTTTATTGGAGACAAGAGTCTCCTGGGCTTTCCTGCCCAGGCTGGCTTTGAACCTCGATCCTCAGATCTCAGCCTCCTGAGTAGCTAGGATTACAGGCATGAGCCACTGGCACCCAGCAAGTTTTGAATATTTTTTAATATCAAGAAGGAATATAAGCTATGCACATGGACTCACACTTGCCACGCCAGTGACAGGGGATGGAAGTCAAATGAATCACAGTTTGAGGCCAGCTCAGGCAAAAAGTTAGTGAAATAGTTGTTTTGTCAAAGCTCATAGAATTCACAAACTTTATAGACTATGATAATGATCATTTGCCTTGTGAAGGTTAAAATGTGTTTGTGACTTTAAGTATCACTATCCCACAATACTGTGAAATTTGTGTAATATATGTAATCACTAAATCTCAATAAACATTATATAAAAGTTAGTGAGACCCCATCACAACCAAGAAGCAAGGTATAGTGGTCTATGTCTGTGATCTCAGCTCCACAGAAGACATAGAAGGATACAGAGGGCTAGAGAGATGACATGACTTGTGCAAGGCCACACAGCTCAGAGCAGAATAGAGTATCCTGGTTCCAGAGCCCAATTCTAATAAATGAATAAATGAGTTGAAGTTCACTTCTTTGCTTCTGAGGCAAGCCAGCTTCTCTCTGAGCCTTTCTTCAATTTTCTCTCCTCTCCTTTGGCTTCCTGCTGTTTGACAGGACTTGAGGTGAAATGGAAGCTCCATTCCAAAGGAAAATCCCGAGTCCCAGAGCACCGTGCATTCAGAACCATGGACAGCATCCAACCCCGCGAGCCTGCGCAAAGCTCTGCCAAGCCCCAGGCAATGCACTGATTTCCCAGCAGCTCTAGCGAGCTCTGGGTACCAGAAAACCACCTGCTCCAAGTGCAGCTCTGGGCGATGATTTAACGCCTTTAACCTTCAATCGCCTTCTCTATAAAATGGGGATAATAAAAAGATCTGCCTCCAGGGTGACTGAGGAATATATTATATAATGTGCTTACATTATATATAAAAGCACTTACCACTCAACTCAAAAAGCCTGGACTGTTTGTAAGTCTTCTTGACTCCGTACAAATAGACACTCACACCCTTCTACACCACCATGGGGGGGGAAAATGGTTCATCCGGGTGCCAGTAGCTCATGCCTGTCATCCTAGCTGCTCAGGAGGCTGAGATCTGAGGATCATGGTTTGAAGCCAGCCCAGGCAGGAAGTCTGTCAGACTCTTTTTTTTTGGGGGGGGGTCCGGTCATGGGGCCTGAACTCTGGGCCTGGGCGCTGTCCCTCAGCTCTTCAGTTCAAGGCTAGAGCTCTACCACTTGAGCCACAGCGCCACTTCCAGCTTTTTTCTTTTTGCTTATGTAGTGCTGAGGAATAGAACCCAGGGCCTTGAGCATGCAAGGCAAGCGCTCTACCGCTGAGCCACCTTCCCAGCCCAAAAGTTTGTTTGTTTGTTTTTCGGTCCAGTCATGGGGCCTGAACTCTGGGCCTGGGTGCTGTCCCTCAGCTCTTCAGCTCAAGGCTAGTGCTTTACCACTTGAGCCAGAGCGCCACTTCCGGCTTTTTTCTTTTTTACTTATGTGGTGCTGAGGAATTGAACCCAGGGCCTCAGGCATGCAAGGCAAGCGCTCTACCACTGAGCCACCTTCCCAGCCCTCTGTGAGACTCTTATCTCCAATGAACCAGCAAAAAGCTGGAAGTGGGGCTGTGGCTCAAGTGATAGAGCAACAGCCTTGATGAAAATGCTAAGGAACTTTCATCCAGGCCCTAAGTTCATCCAGGCCTCGCACGTGCATGCATGGCACACACACACACACACACACACACACACACATGCACACATGTGCACGCTCAATCCACCAGCTCTGACTTCCTCTAGACTTGCTTCCCCCAGACTTAACAGCTGCGTTTGTGGGTTTTCTAGGGCCGCGGATTCTTCACAGCTTTCTTGGAAAACAGAGGTGCTGACAAGCTTGCCTTCCGGGTGTCTGTGTCACCACCGCCGGGGGGAGGGGGGTGGCCCTCCCCGACAGCAGCAGTGCTAGTGAGGATGCCAGGAAATGCTTCTCAGATGCCTTGCGCAAGTGCTCAGATTTTTGGCGGTTCATTGGAGATGAGAGTCTCACAGACTTCCTGCCTGGCCTGGCTTTGGACCATGATCTTCAGATCTCAGCATCTTGAGTAGCTAGGATAACAGACGTGAGCCAGGTTTTAATCCTCACCCTGTTACGTGCTAGCTGTAGAAATCCAGGAACAGGTCCTAGGGTGTTGTTGGGCCTCAGTTGCCTCATCTGGAAAAGAAGTTATTCGTTCACAGAGCTATGGGAACTGGTGGCTTCCTTTGGGCCATTTGCCCCCTGGGTTTGCCCCCACACAAGGGAGGGCTAATCGGACACAGTTCCTTTGCAATGGAGGATCCAGGATGGGAGGGCAAGGCTGCATCTCCAGAAAGGAAGAGATGAGGGACCCTGATTTAGTTTCTAACTGCCTTCTCCTTCAGGTTCTGGTAGTTTGCACTCCTTCTCCCCTAGAGCCCTTGCTTCCAGTGGAGACAGCAGGTTGGGAGAGAACTCAAGAAGAAACCTAGCTTTCTGCTGGAGACCTGGGGTGCATGCCTATAATCCCAGCTATTCAGGAGGTTGAGATCTGAGGATCATGGGTCAAAGCCAGCCTAGACAGGAAAAAGAAACTGTGAGAGTCGGGCTGGGAAGGTGGCTCAGTGGTAGACCGCTTGCCTTGCATGCCTGATGCCCTGGGTTTGATTCCTCAGCACCACATAGCAAAAAGAAAAAAGCCAGAAGTGGCGCTGTGGCTTAAGTGGTAGAGCGCTAGCCTTGAGCTGAAGAGCTGAGGGACAG